AACATGTCATATGCTACCACTAGATCAAGTCAAGCATAGAAGCAATAGTGGTACCATACAAGTATTAAATTCATTTGATCTTCATGAATGAGCCTATAAGACATGAGGAATGACTAGATGCACTAAACAAGTCCTTAGCAAAGGATGTATGCATGCCAATCAACTTTTACCTTGGATTGCTCGAAGGAAAGGCATGTCATATAAGTGGGGGGGGGTGCATCAACACATATTTGAGAAATCAAATATGTTCAACTCATTTCTTAGTTTGCGAAACCTTCTCATCTAGTTGCTTGTTGAATATATCGGCAAGTTGATCTTCGGTGCCCACACTCTCAATGCAAATGTCTCCTTGTTGTTGACGATCTCTAATGAAATAATGACGGACATCAATGTGCTTTGTTCTTGCATGTTGAACCGGATTGTTGGTGAGCTTGATTACACTCTCATTGTCACATAGCAATGGCATTTTGTTGAACTTGATTCCAAAGTCATTCAAGATGGCCTTCATCCAAAGAATTTATGCACAACAATTACTGGTGGATATGTATTCAGCTTCGGCGGTTGATAATGCAACACTATTTTGCTTCTTTGATGACCATAAAACAAGTGATCTTTACAACAATTGACATGCGCCCGAGGTGCTTTTCCTTTCAACCTTGCATCCCACATAGTCGGAGTCTGAATATCCAACAAGTTCAAACTTTGCTCCTTTGGGATTTCACCTTTGCCTTGAGCCTTTTGTTTTTCTCTTTCTTCTTTTTCAAGTCCGAGCACTTGATCACCATGGGCATCACCACCATCAACATGATCTTCATTGATTGCTCCACTTGGAATAGTGCTACCTATCTCATGATCACTTAGATAAATTAGGTTAGCACTTAGGGTTTTATCAATTCACCAAAACCAAACTAGAGCTTTCACTAGACCATTAGTTAAATTCCACATTTATATTTGTTAGCCATAGCAAATAAGTTTTAGAAACCGCTATTCACTCCCTTCTAGTCAGTCTTCTCGACCTAATACTTGTTCATGCATCGTGCATTGTGCTCAATCATCATGTTTAGCTTATGCATCATATGCAATCGTGTAGGGGAAGAAGTGACCGAGGAGGCGAGTCTTGAGCTCGAGCCAAAGTTAATTGTTGAGCTCTAGGCTGATCCTCAAGGTAGGCACCTAAGAATCCTTGAACCTTTATAATACATAAATATGCATGACTATGTGGTATGTATCATTTGCATGTGTTAATCTTGTATATTGTCCATGATCTAGAGGCAACCCATTTGTAGCTTTACTTCCTCGTTATTCATGATCCATGTCGTGAAGTGTTGTTTGTTTAATTCTTGGAACGTAATATTCCTTAGCATGCTCAATCATGCTCAGGGGAGGAGACAGGGGGCAGGGTCCTGCCCCCCCTAAGGTCGCATAGCATCTGTTAATACTACTCATTAGTTCTACTAGTCCTAAAGGTTATAGGTAAAAAGTCTCCTCAACTAAGATAACAAAGTTCAATTAGAAATAAAATACATCTCCCTATTGTTGATTATATAATTGTCTTTTCCTCAAGTTATATCTCTTGTTGATTATATAATTCTATGTAGATAGATAAAATAAATATGAAGTGAACAGTTGGGGAACAATGCTCTTTTTTATCTTTAATTTAGACAATTAACACTTATTTTAGGATTCCATTTCTTAATACCATGATCAAAATGAACTTCCGCTTTCAATCATCTCTTTCAAATTGATGTTCCAATATCTTCTTGTCATTTTTTCCACACTGCATTTTTATTTTTTCATCTTGCCATTATGGAATTAATTTCTTTTTAAAGATGAAGAAAGAGCAGAAATAGTTTGAAATAAACTGATGGAACCTTCTACTCGTAATTGACCATTGATACACGGTATAAACATAGCCTTAATGAATTAACTGACTTCTTTTACTTATTAAAATACAATTAAAATTAAAATATAAAATATAAAATTAGATCTATTAGCACTCTAAGGTCAAAAGTATAGTTTAAATTAAAGTAAAAATGTTTTATATATACTTAAATTGTATAAATAGGGGTAAACGGGTGTTTCATAGAAATTGTATTTACGTTAGAATTAGAAGAAACTGACTATGTCCGAGATGAAGAAAAGAAAGAGATTAAATAGGATTTATAGTTTTTAAGCCAACATCAAGGTTATTAATTTTTTAAAGCCAACATCAATGTCGGGCACTGGTATTTTTATTTTTTCACTTCTTCTATATTTCATGTACCTGATTTTTGTTGTTGTTGTTGTTGTTGTTGTTGTTCAGTCAATAGGCAATTTCGTCGTTATGTCTATAGAAAAAAATGTAAATTGTCTCTTATGAGTTATCCTTTTAATTGTATAGTTAATGTATAACTTGTTGTCTAAAATTATCTAAAAATTCAAACACCTAAAACATAGCAACTCAGTTTTTTTACACTCGGCGGACTGACCCTGTATATTTAAATCCTGGCTTTGCCCTTGTTCATGCTAAAAGTTGAGTACATGGCAAGGTCACTGCTTACTACTGCCCCGTCCTGAAAATAATGTAACTATGGGTTGCGTGCCACAAAAAGTGGTTCACGTTTGATCAAGGTTTTAGTGAATAATATTGACTTTAAATTAATTTATTATAATAATACATTTCGTAATTAATCTAATGATATTTATTTGGTATCGTAAACATGAATACTTTTTTATCTATAATTGGTCAAACTTAAGATACTAAAATATGTCATTGTGCTATAATTGCATTTTTTAGGGACGGAGGTAGTACTTCTTGTGACCGTGTAGGAATTGTGTGATAATAAACTTGTAGAGGAGGAAAGAGCTATTTGAACAAGATGCTGAGTGTTAACCAAGGCTCGACAAAGGGTACTAAGGTCACACCGAGATGGGGTCTTGGGTGACGGTAAAGTCGCTTGAGCTAGTTAAGAACCAATTTTTATTGCATCAAATTTGAGAACCCTTTTATACTTACCATATGTCATGTATGAGTGTGATAAGTTGAGTAACATATTGTGACCAGGTAATCTGATAGACTCGGTGTGCCCATAGTTGGCCATGCAGCCCGAGCCCGTCGGCCCGGCCCAAGGCCTGTTATTTTGGCCCGGCCCAAGCACGGCCTGGCCCGGCACGGAGGAGCAGGCCATGCATGGGCCTTACCCCAGGCATGTGGGCCGGCATGGCACGACCTGCTACAGAACAGGCGGCCCGCTAGCGGCCCGGCCTGCTAAGAGCCGCTCAGTGGTGGTGAGCCGCACTCCCTCTCCCATGCTCACCCGCACAGTGACGCGCTTCTTCTCCCTCGCTCACCCGCACGGCGCCGCGCTCCCTCTCCCTCCGTGCGCTGGCCTCCCTCCCTCCCTCCCTCTCCCTCGCCGTGTGCTGGCCACCCTCCCTCTCCCTTCTCTGGTGCGCTCGCCTCCATCCCTCCCTCTCCCTCCTCTGGTCCGCTCGGCTCCCTTCTCTTCCATGGCGGCGACGGCACATGGCCCTAGAGCGGCGACGCATGGTCCTCAAGGAGTGGCGACGCGTGGTTCTTGAGGGGCGTCGGTGTGGCTAGGAGCAGGCGGCGCATCCACTGAGCTCGCAGCCCCGACGAGATCCGGATCCGGCGGCTTCGCAAGATCCGGCGCGAGGAGGCGGAGGACGATGAGATCCACGCGCGAGGAGGTGTGTGGCGCTCCCCGGCGGTGGATCCAGGGTGGGCACGCTCACCGGTGGTGGATGCAGGGCATGCCCGTCCTCCAGCAGCGGATCAAGGGTGGTGGCATCCCCTGGCGGCGGATCCAGGGCGTGCTCGGCCTCCGGCGGCGGATCGGGGGCGGGCGCGACCGAATCCAGGGACGACGAACGTGGTGGCTGGCCTCGAGCGGCTCCTCCGGATCCAGCTTCGAGGGCGTCAGCCTCCCCGGTGGCGAGCGTGCTGGCCTCCTCCGGATCCGGCGTCGATCTCCTCGGCGGCGAGCGGCGTTGACCCCCTTCCCCTCTCTCTCTCTGTCGGCAGCCAATGGGCCTCGGGCTGGCACGGCCTGTGAAATTGGTCGTGCTTCACGGGCCGGCCCAGCACGGAAATCGGCCCATAGTGCCGTGCCTGGGCCAGAGGCCAGGCCTGTGTCCCTGTGAGGCACGGCCCGGGAGGCACGGCGTGCCGTGCCAGCCTGTTGGCTATCGGGCTATGCTGGCATGGGCCCGTGCCGGGCAGGGCTGGCCCGGCCCGTTGGCCATCTATAGGTGTGCCTTGTGATGACGGGTAGCCAGTAAGAAGCCTACTCATGTACATTACGACCGTTCATCGGTTGATTTGGCCAAATATGATAATGTGCTTGAGAGTGGGTGGTGGCCTTGTGCTGGTGTGTGGGAAAAGATGTACATTTCTTGCATGTTTGATATTTATCACTTCGAAATGCGGTACTCTCTGTTATGAGGCGAACTCATACTTTTTTTTGGCTTCTCGATGTAGATAGAGTGACTCGTGGAACATGAGTTCACGCCTCACGTTATAGAAATTGTTACTAATGTTCGAACATAAGTCGTATGGTCGTTTTCATTGTGCACAAAATGTCTTCCATGCAATTTTAGCATCTTATATTACTATTAAGTGGTATAATTTACCATAATAAATGGTAGATTTATTTAAGCCCAACTTGGCTAATAATGAGCTGGACAGGATCTGCTAACGTAAATTTCGTTTATTTTTTGCCTTGTATTTCGTAGGATGACTTTCTATAAGTTAGCTAACGGAAAATCAATGTGATTCGTCCACGGATAACGACATCCTCTGGAACTCTTCTCTGTGAAATGGATCTCAGTCGAGAGTCGAGACCCTATAAAAACGCGCGGTGCCCGACCAGAAACGCTCTAAGAATCCTCTCCGTCAAACAGAAGCGGGTACCTCGCACCGCACAGAGTGGTTGCACGCGCGCCGAGTCAAGCACGGCGATCATCGTCGACGCACGCACCGGCGGCGCCGCGCGGCCGCTATGGAGCAGTACGCGGAGACGGCCAGAGAGAGGACGCAGGAGGACAAGACCAAGAACGTCAACGACTGGCTCCCGATCACTTCGTCCCGCACCGCCAAATGGTACTACTCGGCCTTCCACAACGTCACGGCCATGGTCGGCGATGGCGTGCTCGGCCTCCCCTTCGCCATGTCGCAGCTCGGATGGTACGTGCGTACGCATATACTCCAATTCATAGAACAATGTTTTTCTCTCACAAATTTCAACGTAAATATTAGCATAAGTTAAATTTCAGCGTAAGCGAACAGGGCCCAAATTCCTACGTGGGTATATATGATTCGATGTTAAACAAGACAATTCAAATTCCTACAGGGGCTTGGGCACGGTGGTGATCGTGATGTCGTTCGTGATCACACTGTACACACTGTGGCAGATGGTGGAGATGCACAAGATGATCCCCGGCAAGCGCTTCGACCGCTACCACGAGCTCGGGCAGCACGCGTTCGGCGAGCGGCTCGGGCTCTGGATCATCGTGCCGCAGCAGCTCATCGTCGAGGTGGGCACCGACATCGTCTACATGGTCATCGGCGGGCAGTGCCTGCGCTAGTTCCACGACCTCGTCTGCAGGGGCCGCTGCAAGGACATCCGCCTCACCTACTGGATCATCATCTTCGGCTCCGTCCACTTCCCCCTCTCCCAGTTCCCCAACTTCAATTCCATCTCCGCCGTGTCCGCCGCCGCGGCGGTCATGTCGCTCACCTACTCCATGATCGCCTTCGTCACGTCGGTGGTCAAGGGCGCCGAGGAGGCCACGGCCGGCGCCATTGACTACGGGCTCAGGGCAAACACGACGTCAGGCCGGGTGTTCGGCGTGCTCAACGGGCTCGGAGCCGTGGCGTTCGCGTACGCGGGTCACAACGTGGTGCTGGAGATCCAGGCCACCATCCCGTCCACCCCGGAGAAGCCGTCCAAGAAGCCCATGTGGCTCGGCGTCGTGGTGGGCTACTTCTGCGTCGCGCTCTGCTACTTCTGCGTCGCCTTCGCCGGGTACTACGCCTTCGGCAACTCCGTGGAGCCCAACGTGCTCATCTCCCTCGAGAAGCCGCGGTGGCTCATCGCCGCCGCGCGCCAACCTCATGGCCGTCGTCCACGTCGTCGGCAGCTACCAGGTGTACGCCATGCCTGTGTTCGACATGATCGAGACCGTGCTCGTCAAGAAGCACAAGTTCACCCCGGGGATCCGCCTGAGCTTGATCGCTCGCTCCGCCTTTGTCGGTGAGTCACATGCATGAATGATTCCATTGACAACTTGCATTGATCGACATGGACGGCGAAAATTAGACATCCCTGCCTTCCACGTGTATGCAGCGGCGACCATGTTTGTGGGCATGACCTTCCCGTTCTTCGACGGCCTTCTCGGCTTCTTCGGCGGCTTCGGGTTCGCTCCCACCACATACTATGTATGTACTGTACTGTACCACATCAAGCTAATAAGCTTTCACTCTACGTTCTTGATTGTTAACTGGAATACACGCGGGGATCGATCGACGTGATCTAGATGTTTTACTCATCAGATTCCACGATGTGCAGATCCCTTGCATCATCTGGCTCATACTGCGCAAGCCAGTCATGGTTCATCAACATTGTAAGTTCGGTTCACTGATTGCTCATTTCTTGAGATCTGTTCATGTTCTTACGATGCTCGATGGCTGTTTTTTTTGTTGTTAATTTGGGCAGATCTGCATCGTGATCGGAGTGCTGCTGACGCTCATCTCCCCCATTGGAGGCCTGCGGCAGATCATTCTTGACGCAAAGAGCTTCAAGCTGTACTCTTGAGCATCAAGCATCCAGAACTTAGGAAGAGAGATGAGAGGCTACTTTTGTCTCGTTTTCGTTTTATTTGATGATGAGACGCAATCTATTATTTCAAGTTTTCAGTATTATGACATCATCGTCATCTATATATGATATAACTCAAACAGATCTGTGCATCTAGAACTATTATATCTAATTTTGTCCATAACTAGCAAACATACATGTGCATCGTAATAGCTACAACTTGTTATGTAGCCACCTCGACGTTTTGCAACCCGAAAATTTCTTCACCAATCGTATCATCCGTTCCGATATATCTTGGGGTCAGACTCCATATTGCTAACGGACACATGAACGTGCGTGCTTCCGACTCATATGAGCATGGGTCATTAGTTCGCGTTACATACGGTACAGGGAGAGACGTGAGACATAATGGACACGCGTCATGAGTCCAGCACTACGTCAAAATTGCACTTCACTGCTGATTTAAAATACTCCATTACTGCCGAATTTTGAACCGGCACAACCATACCGGCAGTGATGAGGGTAAGCTATCACTGTCGGTTCCTACAAACCGGCAGTGTTCTTCAACTTCACTGCCGGTTCTTTACACAACCGGCAGAGTTCAGTTCCACCAACAATGCCGGTTCATAAGACCACCCGGTAGAGTTCATTTCCACCAACACTGTCGGTTTGTGTTTGAACCGGCAGTGTTATCGTACGAATCACTACCGGTTTGTGACAAGAACCGACAGTGATGGATAAGCTAACGCTGCCGGTTTGTGGCTCCCGCCGGCAGTGCCATCACTGTCGGTTTGTTGCTAACCGGCAGTGATGTTTACGACAACACTGCTGGTTTTCTACCAACCGACAGTGATGTCATGTTCGTATTTTATTGTTTTATAATTTATTTTAATTTATATTTTTTCGTGGAATTGGGTTTCGCTTTATATACGCTACTTAGACGATATGTCCATCAATATTAAACATTACAAATATTATGGTTATAGTTTAAATGTTCTTATCAAGATCTTGATCCCTCAAAATAAAAAAGAAATATTCTCGGACTTCACAGATTGTGCAATACTTCTCGGACTTCTTACAATAATCTGGCGAACCGCTCTGGGCCATACTAGTCCTTGAACTTCACATATTGTGCAATGAAAAATACTCCATCTTTTTCCAATATCTCGGCTAAGATGAATTTTGCCAGCTCCGATTGCAGCGTGACGATCTCCATGTCTAACATCCTTTCGTGGTTATATTTCTTACGCTGTCGTTCAAAAAAGATAATATCCAAAGAGGAATCAGTAAATTATTTTGTTGAATGATTAACATACATAAATGAAATAGGGATTATACACATCAACTTATCGGCTTCTTCCGATTTTCCGTCGATGTAGTGAAGCATTGCCCACATTACATAAAACCCATATTCATTGTTTCTCGCCGGCTGTTTTAGGTACTTTCCCTCCATTTGGACAACTTTGAATGGGGCATGCGTCCCACTGATATGTCTTCTTCGGATACTGAGCAACATTAAAAGGAGAAACGTTAGAAAGCGGTATGTGTGATTAGAAAATAATATGTTATTAGGATCGCTTACTAATTCAGCACTGCCACCAGTGCATCCAGATGATGAAATGGTTTTTTCTTCGAGTCCCACACCTCGGTCAGATTTTTGGCAAGATTAACACAAATAAAGACGAAATAGTGGCTGCAATCGCAGAATCCTAATTATCGAATAATCTTAACGAAAAAAGAAGCATAAAATTAAAAGCCGATAACATATACTCGCAGTCGTAGGCTAGAAGTTTGTGGGTTTTGTTCTTCATCTTGAATTCGTTGAAAACAACAATCAATCTCTGTTTCAGGTCTTCCACGTCACATCCATGGAGGCCTATACATGTCTTTTCATTGACTCGCAAGGGGTCCAAGAAGACTATGTTATCCCATTTGCTTTTTAGAATACAAAATTTTGCTATACACCTACATAAAATTATGGGAAGAGCTCAAAAGTTAATAATTTGTGTTGAGAGAGTAGTTAATTATAATATCGTGCATATAGGGTACTTATATAGTCCACAACGTCAATATTTGTGTATCAAGAGAGCGTTTCTGGTATAGCTGGAACAAGCACTCCCACTCGACATCGAATTTCTCTTCTTCAGGATAATTAAAAACATGTGGCGAACGGATAATAACCTCAAAACCAAAGTCCTCCGTCTCTGTTGTTTGAGCCATGTAATATTCATGCAACTAGTGCATATATGTTGTCAAATTTTTATACTCGTGATCGAGAACCAAAAGATTGCCCCTTTCATACTTCATTGCCGGTGTTGCCGTCTCTTGTACATCATAATAGATGGTCGCGGCCTCTTCCATGGTTAATTTAGGGTTGTCTTCGACGAACTTCTGTATCTTCCTTAAATCTTCATTGTGTATTTCATCGGCTCTTGTTATAGCATACTGATTCTGTGTTTGCCTTTCAAATTCGGACTTCAACAAAAATGGTGGCAGTGAGGCACAGAGATTGAAGAAACTAATATAATCTTCCTTCGAGATGTGTGCTTTAAATTTTCCTTCCATCAAGTTTGTAACGCTGCCACTGAACGGCCTTTTTCTTTTTTGTTGGTCCACTTTGGGAGCATTAGCGACCGAATCCAAGGATCTTTTCTGTGACTGCGAGGATGCCTTTGATCTTATTTTGGGTTGAGGTGGAGGAGGAGGATGACGACGAGAATTCTATTTTCCCAGGGCTGATGAAGATGGCGGAGGAGTAGTCTTCTCTTTTTCTCGGGGCTAATGAAGATGGAGTTGGACGAGGAGGAATAGAAGGAGACCTCTGTCTTCTCGGGGGTGATGGCAAGGGATGAGGAGGGGACTGATCTCTGTTGGGAGATGGTGAGTGATCATCGTGGGTGGGCGAAGATTCGCAATCGTCCTCATCATCAGAGGACAATTGGTGGTCAAGCTTAATGAAGCGCTTACACCAGGTCACTTGAGAGCCCTTGTTATGACCAAGTTTCGGCCTGTCTTCCACTACGGGGTACTCAATGTGTATCTTGTTATACTTCTTATCAAGTATTTTGTCAATGGTGACACGAGCATACCCCTATGGAATTGGGCGGCCATTAATGGTCCCATCTCCCGTAGGCCAGGCCTAGCCGAGCGCCACCTTGTCCTTTGTCCATTCCTGACGGATGTACAACTTGACATTGATGGGTTCAGTGATGCCATCCACCGAATGAGGCACATTCGTATCTTCTTCGTCGAGCGGGGTCGATCCGCAGCTGCTGCGACCCCTAAACTATGCGCTAAAGGCAGTAGGAGTAGGGTTTTGTGGTACTCCTGACCCCTTGGACAGCAAAATTTGCTGGACTCGTGCTTCAACAATCACCTCAATCCGTGCGTCCATTCTTTCTTCCATCTCTTTTAGTCGCCTCAAATACTCTGCCTCCTGATCCGCTCTATCCTTCGAGCGGCTCCGGTAAGTGTTAGATTCTTGGGAGAATGCTAGTTTCCAAGGAACAACACCGGTTCCTCTAGTGCGACCAGGGTGCTCCTTGGTTCCGAGTGCTTGGGTGAGCACGTCTTTCTCCCTATTAGAAGTGCGAGTCCCTTGCCTCACCTCCTCAGTTACCTAGGAGATCCTCTGGATGAGTTCGCTCATGGGTTGATTTGTGGAGCTAAAGCTCCCGTCCTCTGCGTGGCGTATATTCCTCCCCATATAGTATATTACCGATCTTGGCTCCCAATCGGCGGTCTCAACCTGAATAGCTTCGTCAGCAAGGCGATCCATCTTTTCAAGTTCTGCTTCAAATTCTAGCATCTTTTTGGCGTAGCCACGAGAGCCGAGATGATGAGGATTCGTCGCTTTCTACGAGTTCTCCTTATTATTCTTGCTCAGTTCTAAGTACTCCTTGGATAACCTGTATTCTTTGAAATCCTGTCAGAAGTCCTTCTACTTGCTAAACTGTCCATCATCGAAATCTGACTCTTTATTTTGGAGGACAAAATTCTTGTACAATGTTCCGTTGAAATTCTTGAAGCATGTCCCCATGATTTCTTTTGCTTTTTTCTTGACTAACTCCTTGTCATACTCCATTGGGAAAGTGAAATACTCTTGGATCTTGATATCCCATATGTAATCCTTCTCACTTTTGGGAACCCTCCACGGGTCATCATCTTTCCCAATCCACTTCCTGTACCTAATCGGGATGAAGTCCCTAACAAGTAACCCGAGGATAGTCTTATATTTGGTCAAAGCTATAGGCGGTGAGAGTGGATCCCTGAATTCATCAAACTTAGTAATGTGCCAGTGTGCATTCCTACCAACAGGAATCTTTGACATGCCTCGCTTGGATCTGGCCTTCCTGCTACCTGAACCCTCTGGCTCCTCGGCCGGCGGAGGCTCCTGCTAGAGACACCAAGTAAGCTATGACCCACTCAATTGATTAGTGTGTGTGGCTACATAGTCACATGATACCAAAGTTACCTGACCATCTTGGTCATTTTGACCCAGATCGAGCAGGCCGGACAGGGTCCATGGCTGCTCGTTCTCATCGTCCTGATTGACACCATCACCGTTTGTCGGATCATGCGGCTCTCCCATCCCAGCGATATCAGCCGCTTCTTGTTGCCGATCTGTTCTTCGGCGATGGGGTAACAGACGACGATGAGTCATGGCTGTGACACGATCGTGGTTAGTTTTGGCTGTGGATAACTACTAATAGCATATGTTCATATATATATATAATATGTTTAATGCAAAGTCTAATAATAAGTCCACATACAATAAAGTCAAATAATAGCATATGTTCACCTAGAACAAATTCATTGTTTGATTGACTACATACAACAAAGTCCACCTACTGTTCTATAAAACTAAGCCTACATCAACTTCCAAATAAGAAAAGCAATGACCATAGCCATAAATAAAAGCATGACATCATTCCAAGACCAAGGAGCAATTCTCCTAATCTTCATATCTCCGGCGGGTGGCTTCTCTTCAATCTCTA